AAGCATAAGAAAGATGAATCACTGCCTATGTTAATTTTGAAATCATGTTCCAGATTTCAAAACTGAGTTTTTACTTTGATTAGTTCAACCTCCACCTCAACAACCATAAGCCACCCCAAAAGTGGCAGAATGATGCAAAGGCAAGGGGAGGTGATCTTCAGGCTTTTTCGGGGGAATGAAAAAAAACCAAAGCAAAACAAAAACAACAAACAAACAGGCAAACAAAAAAAACAGATCGGACAGCCAAGAATGGAGTTGCCTAAATCACCAGTCAGTTTGGGAAGCCTTAACGTTTCATTTCAACACATTAAGGGAATAATCTGTTCTTTATCATTTCCTTGCAGTCAGACAGAGGACTGGCAAGTGCTGATGCACAGGCAGATGGATTTCACAGCTGCTTCCAGAGCACAGAATTAATTCAGGGATGGCAAAACACACTAATACCTGAGTGAATCCTGGAAACCACGCAGAAAAGTTTCTTGGTCTCTACACAGGAGTTTTGGGTGATACCCTAAGAAAGGTGCCCATAGGGTATGAAGTTTTACCTCTGGGAATCTTGTATGTGCTTGCTTTCTTCATGGAGTACATGTGCACAGGGAAATTCTACTGCTTATGTCATCTCATCTTGTTATACCTTTACAACTGGAAGAACCCACCTGTGCAGGTCCCTTTGTCCTTGTAAAATGATGCACTTTCCTGTCCCGATTTCCCTTTTGGAAAGGAGTTTGTCTTTCTTAAGTGAGCTCAAAACACTGTCCAGAACCAGACTGTTTGCAAGTGAGACTGGAACATAACTGCGCTTTTATATTAATGCCCTCAGTGTCTGAAATGGCATTATTTTAAATTGCAGAGAGACATATCAGTGAGATAGTTGTGGAGCACAGAATGGACTTGCTTTACAGTAACCCCCATGTTGGTAACCAGAGCTTCAGCTGCTGAATGCATGAGCCCATCTGCATGAGGTGCCTGCAGGCAGAGGGAGCCCACCGGAGCTGCCCACAGGCAAGAAGAGGCAGGAGCAGGTACAGGCATGAGCAGTGACAGAGCTGACACATGTTTTTCATTCTACTGCACAGCTCATAGGGAAAAAAATTACCAGTAACCCTAATAACCAGTCTAATTAGGTCTGTGTAGAAAGGGGTTAAAGGTGTCCAGGGAAAGGCAGAAGGACAGGCTGTAGGTGAGGTATATGAACATTGTAGTTAAACCCAGCACACTTTTGGCTGGCAGGGCCTCTGGGCACTTGGAATTGCTTTCTTCCCCTGGTGTCTACCCAGTCAAGTTGATGTGAGCTGTTCTCAGACTCTCAGGTGAGTCACTGGTGGGTCCTGGCCCAGTGTAGCCAACACTCACTGCAGGGCATCCAGCTGGAGGAGCAGCACAGGGTGGTGCTTCAGGGGCAGTGAACTGATGAAAATTAACCTGGATGTAGGTGTGGCTCAGTGTAGCTGAATAACTGTTGAAGCATTAATTTGCCATCATCTTCAGCTTCTCTCTTGACCTCGTGCTTCCCAACCAAGAGCCCTATCCCAAAGCCTGGGGTCTAACAGCATAGATACCAGCCAGGCTGGGGATCGATCCCCAGGTTCAGACCCTTTCCATCTCAGCAGGTATAACCCGTAAGAGCACACAGAGCAGATGGCACTAAGCAAGCTGTGCAAAGTCTTTCCCAAAAAGTGACTCTTTGCCAAAGTAAATTACTATCAGTTGTCATTTAAATGAGAATAAGCTTCACTGATTACTTTTTGCATAATCATTCAGAATGAAAACAGATGTTCCTCAGGCCATGTTTTAAAGCTGCAATGCACATTTAAAGGTAAGCAAGAAAATTCTCACAAGAAAATGGATATTGAGTCTTGTTAGTGAATTGTTGTATCTGAAAACACTTCTCTTTTATTTGTGATAAAAGTATATTTCCCAGCTGCTAGACAAAGCTATATGGAAATTGCTATCCCAGCAATGTTAATATTGCCCCAGCATGAGTCAAGCTTTAGTTGTTGTTTTTAAAAAGGAACTGTAACTTCCCCTCAGGAAGACTGCTCTTAATCATGCTTAGGTTTGAGCAAGTATTTTAACAGAATGATTTTCTGGGTTTAATTATTTTAATTTTACATGCTTGGTACCTTTACATTTCTTGACATGGCACGTTTGCAGTCTACAGCCAGGAATCTGGGTTGCAGTGTTAGATGAGGCTTCAGAAGAAGGCAAGTCACTCTATCTAAATCATCAGAGAAATTCTTTTTTGTTATCCAGTCTGTTTGAAATTGTCAGGACATCTCCTTTTCCTACTTCCTAAGACCTACAGCATCCCCGCCTATGTATGTTGCTTCCTGCTGGAAGAATATTTATAGCATTTCTGACCTTTGAATGAACTTTTAAGAATCAATAACAGCAAAGTGGAAAGAAGGTCAGCAGCAGTTTTCCTCTTGACTGAGTGTAGCCAGTGTTCAGCTTAGAATATCTAATATATATTAGGAGCTACCATAATCACATTTATACAGAATTTTTGCAGGAAATTTGCAGATTTCTTTAGCACTGTCATGTAGCTGCCATCTGAAGGATACAAGGCCAGAGCCGATGGTGTGTCATTGATGGGTTTTAAGTTGTTGTGTATCAATTTTTATGTGGCAGAACTTCTACAAAAAGCCTTAAAAGGCGGTGCTGAAGAAGAATTTTCTTAGCTTTGTTTTACCACTGGACAAATGTAAGTGAATTAGAAACTGCTCTCATTAATGACTTATTGCAACTGGAACACCATCCATTTCCTTCCACTCCTGATTACAGTAATAAAATAGACAAGTCACTCTTCGATGTGTAAGCACAAGCTCACATATGGGATGGTTGAAGGCAAGGTTTGTCCATTCACAGATGTTATCCCTATGACCCTACAACTCAAATATTTTAAAGGACCTTTCCTAATTTCTCAAATTATGAAGCTCCTTCCAAAATCAGTGTTGCCATTATGAACTGGACATATCAGTGCTGTTTACTGCCTCCACTTAAAGGGAAAATTGCTTTCCCTTTATTTCATTGCCTAAAAGCAAAGTTTCTAACCTAATTAAATCCTTTCCTTCTCCAGAGCTGGCACCCCCTAGAAAATGCTTGTGGCAGTGTCATTTGCCTGCCACAGGTTCCTCACCAACTAGTTCAGGTTGTAACTGTGAATTAGAAGCCTAAATTCCGGATGCCTTGAGTTAAGTGAGATTAATCCCATTGCTAGGGGTGACAGTAATAGCTCTCACAGAGTGAGAGGTCTTCTACCTTGTAATTAGAGTGAATTGTTGCAGTCAGGACTTCCCCTCATGCCATTCCACGGAAGTAGCAAGCAGGGTTTTGCTCTTTCCTGGAACCTCCTGAAGCTGGTGCAATACATAGGGGTCCTTTTTGCAAATGTAATGTCATCATTCTGAAAATATCTCTCATAAACTCTCCATTTTCTCTACTATTTTCTTGATTGACCGAATGGAAAGACAGTGATAGCTATACAAATCTTCACAAATTTCAAAAACCTTTATAGCATCTCAAAAGAGTTGTTTTCATAAGTTTCTATGTCCATGTCATTTGAAGATTGTGTCTACTTTTTCAGCCAACCATAAAAATATGTAAAAATACAAGGAAAATGAAATAAATTTACTGTTTTGAAAATTTCTGTTTACTCAGAAGTGGTTTGATCAAAGGTTTTAATAGTCAGGAAATGAGGACTTTTTTTTTAATGGATGCTATCTTATTTATTATTATTGCAATTATTGTTACATTCCTGAAGAAGAGTAAAGGAAAAGGCATTACCACACAAGTTCTACATGAATTGTTAATGTCAGCTTTGAATTTCCTTGTTTTTTCCTAGTTTATAAAACACCCTTAATACAGAATTGTTTTGTCTCCATTTCTTCAAATTCATAGACTCATAATATTAAAGAATGGTTTCATTTCTCACTCCATGTACCCATTTCCCTCTTTTTGCCTCTTTTTCAATTTCTTTCAACGACAAATGTATTGTGCTGTGTGCATCCTCAGTGCTCTTAAACATAAAGCTGTCTTAGCATTTCACCATTCTCCAAAATTTGCATTTTCAGCAGTCTCTAACCAAGGAGAAGTTGCTCTTTCCCTCTTATTCCTAAAACATTTTAAGTACTTTGAAAAGTTCTATAAAGCAAGAGAAAAACTATTAATATTAATATTTCTGATGAAATTGTAGTTTATCGGTTCATTGAGACTACTATTTTGGCTCCAGCAAGAGGCTAAAAGGAGTTCATCTGGCACATGGATTTGAAAAAGCAACAAGGTTACATGGACACTGAGACAGATCCATGCTTTGGGCCCAGCCAGAGACAAAGCCTATGGCAGAGCTGGGTGATGACCAGGGAGTTTCAGTTTCTGCTGATTTTTCTACTTTGCTGACGCTGCCAGAGTGGATACATGTCAATGTGGATTATACCAACATCCTAACATTGGGGTTGTTGTCCACTCATCATTTGTCCACTCATCATTTCCTCAAAACTGGATGATAACTGGAACTGCTCGTTGTTAGTGCTGTTCTAAGGCTGATGAATGCCCTTAAGAGCTACTTCAGTCTGTTTTGTTGGGTTTATGCCAATGTTTAAAAACTGCAGGTCATTTTTATGTATGGCAAAGTACATGTTGTCTCTTACTGTCTGTTTAATCTCATGGTTTCTCCTTCATCTGTAGCAGCTCCATCAGTCTGCTCTGTGTGGCCTCCTGCTGCAGTGTTTGGGTAGCAAAGTCCATGAATTTAATTCTTTAGGTCTTGTTGCCAATGCACACAAGGCTCAGCTGCTTTTTTTTCTCACAAATGTCTGTCTACCCCCAGCTACCAAACACCTTGACTGAGTCTAGTCAGTACCAGAGCTTGAGCCAGACACTGGAGCTGGTTTCATGTCAAAATAGGCCAGCTGTGCACAGGCAGCTTCTCACACGTCTCACAAATACAGGAGGATGGGCTGCTCTCACTAACAGCATGCAATTTGGCTTGGTGATTTCAGAAAACGACGAGGAGCAGGAGGCTCTGCTGTCAGTGGACAAGCCTGGTTGGTATTCCCAAGGTAATGCTATCCAGCTTTACGATCTACTGAAGAAGATGACTGGCAAGCTGGATCCCAAGGTATGTTACAAGTGAGAGCAAATCTTTCTGAAAATACCCTGGTTCAGTTGAGAATTCACCAGACAAACTCTTGTTAAAGTTATTGATGTAAGATGGCATCAGTGAAAACTAGGAATATGTTAAGTACAGGTCTGGATAGGGGAAAATGCCACTAAAGGTGGTGTAACAACATTTTTCATAGTGAATAGATTCCTTCCTGGACACAGAAGAGTTTTGAGTCACCAAGAAGAATGTTCTGTCTTGTTTAAAACTTGTAGTCTAAAACTTGTTCCAGTTTAGTGTATTTTTTTGGTAGTCTTTCTACGGCTTCCCATCAGGCTATTTCTGTCAGCCAAAAAACTCACACTTCCTTTTGCTGGTCCCAGTTAGGCATCTCTTTCCAATGCCCCTGGAGGGTGAGAGCAAGGAGGGTGTGTGGGGCCAGCCTTTCCCTTATGGAGCTGGTTGAAGATAAAGCACCAAACTTGACATTAATAGGATCTCTGCATGTCTTGACCAAGTGTAAACATGGAGGAATTTTTATTAGGTCATTTTAAGGCCCTTTTTCTCTCTATGGATTACAGTTTGCTTGTGTTTTCCTCGTATACAATGAACTTCTAATTTGCTTCTTCCCTCACAGGTTGTTTATTTTGGTGACAGTATGCACTCAGATATTTTCCCAGCTCGTCACTATAGCAACTGGGAAACTGTCTTCATCTTAGAGGAGCTTCTAGGGGACAAAGGTACAGTGCCTGCAAAGGCTGAATCTGAGCCCTTGGAGAAGAAAGGAAAATATGAGGTAAGGGTTCCTGCAGATGGTTCCTGGAACAGAATAAAGTAGATTACAAAAAAGCCTCATGTAACCTGCACTAAGAATGAACCTGCTGGTCGTTCCAGGGTGCTGGCAGCATTATCATCCCCCACAGATGTATCCTCCTTGTCTTACCAGGAGGATGCTGTTCTGTCCCAGCCAGCGATGCATGGGTGACACAGTACCCCTACCTGGAGCTAAGCCATGAGAACCATGGATCTCAGAAAAGGAGCTGTATGTGCTCTCCCTTAGCAAGAGCCTTTTTAGAACCAAGATCCCACCACCCCACAAGGAGAAATTTCATGCCCACTTATCACAAGTCCAACGCCTGAACTCTGCTGAGTTCATGACATTTCCCTGTGTGTTCTGGCCAACTGTAAACATGGAGGAATTTTTATGACATTGTTTTGAAGGTTACTTTCTCTCTGTGTGAAATATGGTTTGCTTGTGCTTTCCTTATATACAAAGAACTTTTAATTTGCTGCTTCCCTCACAGGTTGTTATTTTCGTGACAGCTGTGCTCAGATAAGAGGAGCTGCTTCAAAATCTGGCCCAGTGCAGACTTACTGATAGTTACCTCAGATAAATAATATGATTTTCAGGTTGATCACAGCTGGGAAGCAGGGCCTTAGCACTGCTGTCATCCCTTAATTCTCCCACAGAAGGTGGGAAATTACTATGGTTTATTCTTTCCTCTCCTGCCAAAGGGCAAAGTAGATAGGAAACAGCACTCAGATGGATGATGAGGCAGCATTGTACCTCCAGCATGTCCCATGTAGGTGGAAACTACAGTGAAGCTCCACTCTCCATTTGGAGTGTCTCTTCGTTTCATATGCTACTAAATAAATAGTTCATTATCTTCTAATTGCAGAGAAATACATGTGCTTTTCACACTTCTCTTTGTAAAACACTAAACTTTATTTTTCTTTTAAAATAATTACTCTTTGTGAATAAAAGTTAACTTACCAGTAGAAAATATTTGGGGGGTGTGTTTATACTTGTTGTTTTTAATCTGTGTTATAAAAGCTCTTGGTTTTAATGGAGAAAAGGGTATCTTCAATGGGACTTTAATACTATATAGATATCTATATATGTTTTTAACAGGCATAGCTCATATTTTTCCCCACTGTCCTGATTTATAAACTAAGATCAGAGAAGGACATTTCAGACACTGAAATAAGGAAATGTAATCATTAATGTTTAGGTTTTTTTCCTGGGTTATAAGAAACCAAAAATTAAGTAAAAAAATGCAATATCCTGTAACAGAATGTGTTTCTCAGAAGGAAGGGGAGGTGGGAGAGGAAGAGCTCATAGAAGTTATAGGTTAAAACAATTTGATTTAAATACGTAATGCTTTAAAAATAACTTAATATCCTCCATTGTTCATTCTCTGACTGGAGATTCTGCTGCATTGCTGCATAAAATGTAAGGGTTGGGGAATTTGTTCAACATGGTTTCTTAGGCATGTTCAATATATGCTTTTGAACATTTTCACATTTTTAAACAGAGAGACAGAAAGTGGTTCTTTTACTGGAAGTAGAAAGAGTAATGGATCGATGTGTTTCTGAGCCCACGATGACGATTTGGTTTTCCCTTATTGCAACACCTCTGCTCGACTGCTCACAAAATCCATCTTCTCTATCACAGCAGTTGTCAAGCAGCAAATTGAGACTTTTAGACAGGTGCTTGACATTTCATTGACACTGTAGCATTCTTGATAAGAGATTGCAGTATCTCAAGGAGACACCACCCCTACCACACACAACCCTTGTTCCGTTTACATCCGCTACCAGTGACAGCGAGCAAGCAAGGGAGAAATGAATTGCATTGATTAAAGGAACCTGAACCAGGGGGGCCGTGGCAGGTCAGTGGTGTTATTTCATTACCATGCTGTTCACTGGAGTCTGAACAACGGGTCACATCCATATCTCTGCAGATGACTGGACACCACTAACTTAACAGGACTAGTTCAAAGGGACTCCCTTTACAAGCCTAGAAAAGTTTTATTTTCATTCCCCCAAGCAACTTCTGCCATTAACCCTTTGATTAAGAAGGGAGAAAAGCCAATTCAAAGGATTGTACAAAGTCAGGTGTTTCTGGAAAATTAGTCACAGATTAGATTTCATCTGGTTAATCAGCCTTAGCATTCATTGGCAATAAAATACAGTACTACTGTAGATTTTCCATGCCATGCTGTGTGTGCAGAGAGGGACTGAAAACTTAACACATGATGCAATTCTCAATGCTATGACTCTTTACAAAATACTATTAAAGTAATAAAGTATTACTTTAATTGGCAATTGCATCTTTCAGAAAGAAATTACAAAAATCTGGTTTTAATTGTTTGGTGTTTCATCACTAACAGAGAGAGGGGAAGAAAACAACCTCCTCACACACCAAGTGGGAGACTTGTGATTATGGAAAATGGTTTCATTTGCAGTTTTTGTCTTTTCCCTTCAATTAAATGCATGATATAAGCCAGATACACATAACTGTGAAATTATGGTAACAACTGCAATTCTTTTAAGTATTTGAGTCATAACCAAATAAGCAAGAGAATAGCAAACTAAAAGCTATTTATGCAGTTACTTGGCTCCTAAGTAAATTGCAGCATGCAGGGGGAATAAAAATACAAGCCATTGTGTTGAAACAAGATTTCCCTTCCTCCCAGAACTGAGGATTTGTTTGTTTGGCTGGAGGCTTTGGTTTTGCATTCTGTCCTTTAAATGTGTGATCAGTTCCATCAATGAAAACTCAAAGGAAAGCTGGAATTTGTCCCAGGATTTCGAGGAAAATTATTACAGAGGAACCGTCAGTGTGTAAAAACCTTGGGCTATATTAATGAATGGAGCAGAAATCAAAGAATTAATGGGTGGATATAGATGATAATTTTGTAGTTGGAACAAAAAACTGAATTTTTAAAATACTGCCTAGTGACTGGTTTGTTGTAGAAGTCAGGGCTGTTATCCCCCTGAATTACCATTAACTCCCTTAGCATGACATAGACAAGGCTATTTACATTATGCCTTTTGGCCCTGTTTGTCTCTTTATTCCTGTTTATCTTTGGCACAAATGTAACAGTACTTTCAGGAACAACCTGATGTGCTGTTGTGAAGCCTGGTGAGTTAAAGCAATATTCTTAAGGCAATACCCTGAAGTGCAGGACATTTTATTTTAAATTTGCTTATAGTGATCCCTGTTGTAATTTAGGTACAATAATCACAGTGAAATGTTTTATATTTGCATGATGTGTAGGAGGGTAGGTTCTGTCCAATAAAATTCAGACCCGTGGCTGGCTTGCCCACTTGCACACCCAGCATGGGTGTGTGACTCAGGGACATCCCGTTGTGGTCAGCACAGCTGTGCTGACAGAAGCATCTCAAATACTGTTACACCAGAAAAAATGCATTTTGAGCATTGATTTTTTTCTGGTATCACGAGTCAGTGGTGTGTTACTACCTCAGGACAAAGCATACAATCAGCAGTACCATCACTCATATCAGAGATGCAGTAAGGTATTCCTCAAGCTCTGTGCTTGCTACAAAGGTATTAGCATAGATGGCAAATCTGTATCTAAAATAAAACCCTTAAAAATATTAACGGCTTGATCTTTCCTGTCTCTTTTACATCTTTCTATCTTTCATCTCTTTACCAAATGTAGAAAAACTTCAGGACTTGGCTCCCTGCTAATTTGTATTTTAGAAAGGTCATTTGTAAGCTGACAAATCAGTGTTACCCCAGGGTCCTATTAGCAGATTCTGTCTATTCTGTTAACAGGCCCTATTTGTCTAGAGTTAGCAAAGCAAAGGTTGTAGTAAGTATTCTGGGTGTTTTGACTTTGTGGAAGGCCCTGGAACTTGGGAATTTCTGGTGCCATCTCTATTTCCCTGAAGCATAGATATTTTCTTCGAGGCTCAACTGACACAATCAACATCTGACCTGCTGCTGTCTGACCAATATGCCTGAGAGCAAAGCCATTGGGCGATTTGCATGAGAAAGAGGGATTGCCCAGCGCTTTGCAGGATCTACTGTCCTGCTGTGAGAGCAAATTCTGTGTCTGGGGACTTCGGGAGGAGCTGACGCATCTTCCAGAGCTCCTCAGTCCTGCTGCTGGGCATGTGCCTCCAAGCATGTGAGTGAGTGAGTAGCCACAGTTAGAGGAGACTTTTGCCTCATTTCACAGATGTACAGACTCATGGTGTGTGGTCTGTTCTTCATTGCAGGCTAAGATATGTGCTGCAGGTGAGATAAGGACATCTTCAGGGCATCAGTTAGGGATGGAAGGGGGAGCAATGTCTGATGTTTCCTAGGAATGTGCTCAGAGATTCAACTGCTCTTACCAGATTTTAAATCAAGATTTAGCCTGTCAGACCTGTCCTGTCATGTGGAGATAAGCCAGTAGCAAAATGATGGGAGCTCTGCACCAGGTGACACGATGACAAGTCTCATATGTAACTGGGTTTGATTTCACCAAGGGCTTGGGTTGTAAACCCAAAATTTAACTCCCTCCTCCTTAATAAGGAAGAAAATCCCGCTCTAGAATCAAACTTCCCCAAAAATCCATTTATTTCCTCAGATTACATTTTTAATTGTCTACTGAAGTAATCATCTACTTCAGAAAGCAGAACCCTCACATCTTTCCTCTTGTCAATAATCAGAGTCCTCTCTTTTGTACAAATACTTATGTGGGCCAGTACTGGGGTTGTCTTGATTAATCACCTGAACAGCTGTAACAGCCTTAAGAGTTTTCTGCATGTGTCATCCAGCTGGCAAACAGATTTTAATTCATCAGAGTATCTACACTTAATTATAACTGATGTAAAATCCTGGGATTTGCATGGAAAGATAAGATTAAGTGGGGAAAAAAGAAAGTAACATGTTGTCCCTTTGTGTAAGGCACAAAAAGTCCAAAAAAACAAAAAAGCCCAGGACTTCAGTTAAATGCTTATTTTGAAACAAAAGATAGGAAGTTTTTCCCAATCTGTTTATTTTTTTACATCAGAAGACAGAAATCAATATCTACATTTGTTGAAATCATTACATTCCATCTCCCCCCATTTATACTCAGAGGAAGAACTGACACAGAGTCATGGAGAGAGTGGCTGTGTGTTTACTGGTGTGGTCTGTTCAGCTGCCTCAACAGCTTCCCTGTGATCAAAAGATACAGGCCTCTGTCATAAACACAAATGATTCCAGCAGATTCTCAAAACTGTTAAGAGAGGGGTTAAATGGCAAATAAAGTACAAAAGTTCACAAATCTGAAGGCACAAACTACGGTATCTGTTCTGTTCTCTGCAGGTCTGAGAAGTTAATTTGCACACAAACGAGTTTAACAGATTTTCTCTAGTGTATTTTATTTCCCATTTTTTCATCTTTCTGTAGATGTGTCCTGTCTAATTGCTTGTGGCAGTATATAGCAAGTTTCAAGATGAACTGGTAAAAAGTCAGTTTTCCCAATGCTGGTTTAATGCTTTCTTTGAAACATAATTAGTCTAGATGTTGTTGTCTGAAAATATACATTGAAAAAATTAATATTTCACAACTTTCTAGGCAACTGAATATCTCTCCATGGATTCTGTGGCTCTGTTTTCATTCATTCCTCAGCTCAGAAACAGATAACACAGGTGGCATGATGTATTCTCTGCAGTTACTCCACCCAGCATCAGGAAGCTCCTTTTCCCCCAGGAGGAGATCCCAGCTGTAACACAGCCTGTCCAGCAGAGAAGAGCAGCATGCAATTCACACTATCAAAAACAGAAAAACAGGGAAAATAGAAGGGGTTTTCTTAAAAGGTTTAAAAAATGTTGAAAGTTAGCTTTTTATGTCCTAGGGAATCCATAAATTGTATAAACAGGAACTTGGGGATTTATGGGAAGACTGTTATTGTCTTTATATTTTAAAACCACATTGCTCCTGAGATACAATATAGGCTTCCCAGAAAATCAGAAAAACACTAGAGTTACTTAAACTAAAGCTTGTGGATAAATATTTCTCTCTTTTTTAAACTTACATATTTATTTTTCTTTCAGGGAGATCAGCTCAAAGTTCCTTACTTTGTATCTAAACAGTGGGGCTCTTTCTTCATGGACAGATTGCCAGGCCTGGAAAATGCAGAGGAGACCTTAGTTCACACGTGGTCCTGTAAATGTATTAGCACTTACAGCACTATTGCAATCCCTAGTCTGGAAGCAATAGCAGGTAAGGAAAATGTTAGGGGTGGGGTTTTTTTTCCTAATTAACATGCAGTATTCATAGTAAGTTTGTAGTGCTGTAGATCTGGTTTTGAGATTACATGTATCTAAAATACACTCAAAATACTCTGTTCATATGAGGCAACACTTAGCACTAGTGGCCATTGATTACTTTGACATTTGTGCTTTTAATTGTTGCCTGATACACCAGGAGTTTTGTTTGTGTCTGCAAATTAAGTGTTTAATTGGTTCCCTGTTAGAGATAGGGTGCAACATTTGCCAGACTGTAGGTTAGTTCCTGAACTTGGTCCCTACTTCCCCACTGTGATTTGCTGTTCCTTCTTTCATTGGTGAGATACATTTGAAACAAACAATGTGCAAAGTTACTTGGGAGTGTTGTGCTTACAAAAATGTTTCTCACTGATCTGGCTTGTTACACTTCCCCTGTCCTCTCTCTGTAACTTTGGAGCTGCAGTAGGTACCAGTGGATTAGGAAATGGTGGTGAAGGCCCCCATGTGCTCCATCTAACATTTTGCATTACTGAACTTTGTCAATAACCATACCTAAAGGAATAAATGAATTATTAAGTGAATGAGGAACATTCAAGCATTTACTTTACTAACCCCTCTGTTCAGCTTCTTTTGCCTGCTTCATGCATAAAACCAAGGAATAAAAGGTTTGTTGCAAGAGAGTATTTCAGGCTTGCCCAGCAGTGACTTCTACAGCAGGACACATGATAGAGCTTTTCTTTGCAACCATATTTTACACATAAAACTTACATTGTATGAATATCTCAGAACAGAGCAGTCATAGACTGCCACAATTTATTCATGCTTCCAATATTTGCCATTTTGAAGTCTGTTTCAGCCTAAAGGCACAAAGCCCAAACATAGCAAGGGAACATGCCAACAGAAAGATAACTTTCATAGAACTGCCATCTAATACCTTTTCCAGGGTCATACTGTGGCTTGCTTTGGAAGTGTTGGCCAAGAGAAAATGGTCAGCCACAGTCTGAAACTCTGCCTCCCAGGCAGCTCCCCTCCAGCCACAGCCCACTTTAAAGGACAAGCGAGGGCTCTCATCCACAAATGTATGAGGAGCTTTCCAGCTACAGATGAAAGGGTGTGAACCCATAAGGCATATCTGGGCAGTTAGTGAGTAGGATAGCTGCCGGTCATCAGCACTGGAGCTCTTGCAAAGCCTGTTTCTCTATTAGGAGGAGCACAGTGTGCTGTCCCTCACTGCATTGAACCAGTGCTGGGGGCAGGGGGTCATGTCTGTAAAAGTTAAACCCCAGTGCTAAAGGACAGGGGAGAAGTAATATTTTAAACTTGCAGCTGTGCACCGGACAGCAGACTCGAAGGTACGAGAACATCTCCACTTTCTTACGGAGAGTGGTATTTCTTGTTTGTTTGTGTGGAAGAGCAGGTGTTCATTATTATGGATGTTAAGGAATTCCTGACTCCTCTTGAATACCTCGTCTGACTCCTGTCAGAGCAAGCTGTAAGAACCCCTGCTTTGCCAAGCCCTGACGTTTTTGGCTGCAGTTGTAAGTCATATCTTAGCTGCAGCTATTTGGGAATAACTAGCTAGAAGAGAATGAAATGGGTTATGTGAATTTGAGGCTCTCCAGTTTTTCCTTTTCCATTCATCTGCTTTAATTACCAGCAGAGGACTTTCCACTGCCAAGCTGCAGAAACTCAGGCCTTTCTTCAAGGTTCCCTGAGCCCAAGCGTGCAGCCAAGCTGCCACCATGCTGACCACATGAATCCAGCTCCCAGCCTGAGCTGTGCTGACTGTGTGAGCTCCACTCTGGCTGGCTCAGCCTTGGCAGCACCTTGCTCAGCCTGACCCAGCCCAACAAGCTGCCACCTCACTTGGAGGTGTGCTGTAGCCTCCTGTGAGCTGGGGGTTGACAAGGGCTTCTCCATCATCAGTGTCTGACCTGGCTTTTTGTACACCTACGTGAGCAGTAGTAAGTGCCACGTACAAGTCAGGATGCCAGCAGCTTGTGATCTGCAAAAATATTTGGTGAAATGTGTCAGATGGCTGCACTGCTGACTTTAAGATTGATTCTTGTTTTTTGGCTGCAGTGAGTATCTGTGCATAAAGAGCAGCTTGGTTTACTTCTCAAGACACGTTGAAAAAGATCATTCCAAAAACTATTCAGCGCTACTCAGTACTGGTAACTCATTTACTCAATACCAGTTCAAAGATGCATTAGAAGTTCCTAACTCTAATCTCTCCTCTGGCAAGGAAGGTATTACTGGAGTTGCAGACTACTGCGCCACAGTTCATCATCTAAACTCTCCTGAGAGTCCCTGAAGACAAACTGGCATTTTTTTGTGCATGAAAAAGTATATTTCATTTATTGTTAAATAAATATTGTTAATTAATTGATAAAATTGTCCAAAGGAGACTTTCTACAATACCTTCTGTGTATTTCCATCAGTTTGGAGTGGAAATCAGATATACATTATACTGGCAGTACATGGTTAATAAAATATTAGAAGCCAATGTCCCTACTCCTATCCTACATGTCTCATTCACAAATCCATCTGTTTCTCCACTTTTCTGCTGTTGAGTCTCTCCTCATTTACAGCTCCCTTACAGATTTTGAGCATTTTAAAGCACAATGATATCATGAGACAGATTTTCCAAACTGGGATCCATTACCGTGGGAATGTTATTTTAGAGCTCCCACATGGAAATTAAAAAGTGTAGGGGTCTCTGAAAAATGACATTCTGCAAAAAACACAGTTCCCACTTCAGTAAACCACTTCCATCTCCACTTCAGAAGGTTAGGTATGAGCCAAGTAGAGGAGGATTACTCTTATCTTTCCTACCTGAATAATCTGTACTTTACCTTCAAGGACAGCAACCACTACTCTGTGACCAAATGATCACAGATCCCCATGTTAATAATTGTACTTCCTGCATTATATAAGTATTCCAACAGTAATTTCAATAATTTCAAAAATACCATTTCAGACAGGTTTTTTGATCAGTTCTTTGATCCAAAAATACGATATATATATTTCAAGCTAATGCTTTGCCTTTCAATCTCATGGTGATTGGTATTTTTATAAAAGTCACACTTCAAAAAAAATCCATGAAAAGTTTTAGAGCTATGAGGGGGATTTTGTTAAGTTGTTTTTTTATTTCATTGCAAAGAAAAGGATAAAAAAGTGGGTTCAAAATTGTAATAAGAAGAACATAAACTTTTTTTTCTAGTTTCAAAGTTCTTAAACTAATGTTCTAAATTTGTCTCATAACCTCTGAATTGTGAAGTTTGTCATAGGATTAAAAACTACTGCAAGCAAGAAAAGGAGATTGAGTGATGTTGCAGCTCAAGAGAATTTCATTTCAGAGAAGAATTAGTGCAAATGAAAATGTTTTATGGAGGCAGAGTTCATTTCACACTTTGGAGATTTGATAACCAAGCTTGTGTCATGCATGACAATAATGCATTTTTTTAAATCTTACATGCAATATGAAATCGTATCAGAATTTGTCCATATGGCTGATTAAGTTTTTCTTCATTCCTCATTGTTATTTTAATTAGCTAGAACAAGAGAAAAAATCTCCATTATAATTAACCAAAGCTGTCTCTTTAAAGATGCCTACAGATCTGTACCCTGGCAATTTCTGCGGGAGTTTGAGTCGTCAGCCTGCTTGCTGTATAAATATAATGATAAAATTGCCAGTGAACCATGACAAAGAAGTTCATGTTTCTGCTTAGAGCTGCAAATTATCTGCACAATGGAAAGCTCAAGGCAGCCGTGGCTGGGGCTCCAGAACTGACAATGTGCAGGTCACAGATACACAGATCTGCCCAGCAGAGATCAACTACAAATTGCAAACTTCACACACCATCTTCCACATATATTTTAAAGGTGAATCCCCTGGAGGAATCAACTGCTATCATGGAAGACATTAATTTCACTAATCAAGTGATCTACTAACCACTAATCAGCCACATACTACAGCCATATACTACACTGATCAGCCATGTATTTCTGTACCCTGAACAGCATCATTTTTAATTATTGCTGAAGTGAAACAAAAAAAAGTCCATCATATTTTTGCACCTTAGTTCTATGTTTTTTCATTGCTATTACATCACTGAAAGTGAAATCAAACTCCTTTTAAAATTAAATTAGTCCTTGCTGTAACCAGACTGATAACTGTGCTCTTACTCAACTGCTACAATAATATACAATTCGCTTAAAACACATAGAACTATCTATATTATGCATTGCTAGTTAGCAGTAACCTTTCATATTTAATACCTTATCTTACAACTGTGCTTTTACTTGCCAACTTCAGTGTAAGACTATCTATACAATTGCATCAAAAGACTCTTTATCAAAATGCTTTGAGGATTTAAGCTGCTTTGGGAATTAGCTCTTACAAATAATAGTTGCTGCTAGAAGAGGTCATTTTTATAATTAAACCTTTTATGCAAAAGAAGTATTCTTACACCTGATGAAAAATTGGTGTAAATGCAAAACAGTAATGTTTCTGATGTTTTCTGGCCCTGAGGTTTCATACAAGGAAAAAAAAAAAGATAACAGAGATAACTGAATAGAGAGAAGATATGTGTTTTGAATGTATAAACAGCATCTTGATCTATGTGTCAGTTGAAAAGCATCAGATAATGTAAATCTGATTCACTTGTTCCAGGAAATTAGTTTCGGTGTTCTCATTTTAGAAGAAAAAACAAAAATCATGCCCAACACAACTAAAAAATATAAGGCATCTATTTTTAAAACTGAAAAAATACAGCTGAAACCAACAATAAACAGCATTTTAACCATAAAAGAAATATTGTTCAACAAATCAGGACTAGTTTATAAAAAGTCTTCAGGACGTAGTTACTTCCCAAATAATCTGGGATCTCATATTTTCCACAGAAATTTACTACTTGATAGTAATATTCAGTGTAGAAAGGACAGTATTCAGTGTATTACAGTTTGTTGAGGCTTTACTTCCTCCTCCAGAAA